GACCTATGTGCCTAACGACCAAGTGCCCTCTCTGCTAGTAGCCGACGGTCTCTCCCTAGGTGAGTGTCCACGAGATGGGGGCAATCTGGGCTTTCATCGACCTTGGGTTCCACGTAGGCAAGGTGGAGCCGGGTAAAGCCACTATTTTTTGATCCACCCCTCATCCATCCTTTATCTTAGCACGTTTTAGGGACTTCACCAAGGGAGCCATTTCATATTACCCTGTTTGGCAGAAAACGGCTCCAAATGGCTCCTAGAGCCGATCGAGAAGCCTTGCAGACGAGATCCTAACATATGGGTATGTTAAGCCTCGAAATCAAGGGTTCCCGACCAACAAATCCCCCCGACCGATCCCTCCTAGATCGCCCAGGGGCTCGGGGGCTATACCCATCGAGTACGCTCGTGCACACCCTCAGACCAAGGATCTAGCCGAGCCTGAGCAAGCCCGCCGCCTCTGCTCGACGCTCGGGGCTCGCCCGAGCTCAGGGCTCCCGATTGACAAGGGCCTAGACCCGATCCTTGGCCACCTCTCGGCATTGGGCACCAACCAAGGCTTGGGACTCCCCGGCGCTACCCCTTGGCGCGACTCTGCCAACTGCTCCCCCGACAGTGTCACGTACGGGACGTGACACAAGAAGACAAGTCCCTCCGTGGCCTCCAAGGGCTCGGGGGATTCTGGGCCCATGCTTCAGCCCCTTGAGCTGGCCTCCTTCGCCACCAAGAAGTCTCCGAAGGCGCACCTGTGGGAGTCCAAGACGACACGGCCTAACACTCAATGTGCCAGGACAGAGTAGTCGGACGACGCCAGAGCTTCTTTGGCTCCACGACACCACCACGGTCCACAGAGCGCCGCTGCAAGACCCTCTTAGACTCCGATGCATGTAGACCATAGGCTCAACCCCTCAAACAGCCATGTACCCGACCTATCTTGATATATAAGGGATAGGTCGGATCCTAGAGGGGACAGAGCAATTCGGGACAAATCATTTCGTTCCTCACCGATCCGCTCCTGCTCGGCACCAAGAGCAGAGCAACCCAGAGAGGGGCACCGAGAGCTCCTCTACCACACCCGTCATCTTCCTCCTCTCCAATGAGGGGAAGGCTCCACCAGCGACGAGGCAACCTTAGGATTAGCACCGAGCTATCCCCATATCAAATCCCTCTCTTTCTCATGTACACTCTGTTGTAACCCCGATTTTGGATGTTCTTGAGTATAAGGATCATCAGCTGCTGGACGTAGGGCATCGATTGGCTCGAACCAAGATAAATCGTTGCGTCCCCTCTATGATTCTTGTGTTCATGAGTCCACCCTAGCCACCAGAGACACGTACTCTGACACCACCTTGAACAACAATGCTTGCCGTGATTTTCGATCCCACGACACCTGCCAAACAAGGCCTTAGTGAAAAAAGAGAAGTTATAGTGGCTTTGGCTTCTCTAGAGGAGCTCCTCGAGCCATGCCAAACAGCCGCCCTTATACACGTATATCTAGAACTATCATTGCACACTTCCCTGCGTTCTCACCTCCCAATCACACCTTGTGCATTGTTTGTTTGTTCGGTTCTTAATTCTTTTGTACACGAGTGCTTCCATAAACAACTGCAACTATATACTCATATATGTCTACTTCTGAATTAGAACATCTCCAGTAGGGACCATAAACACATGCCCTACTTTATTTTTTTAGTGCCAGAGAAAAACAAAAATTAATCCAACGGGCCTCAACTTAAGTCCCTACTTTATGGAAGCCACTAAATCTCCTCATCAGCCCCATCTCTCAAGGATGCGTGGGGAGCTCCCTATATCTTTCCTAAGAATTTTTTGCCACACAACAACTCACTCCCACGTCTTTTTTCATTGTAGCTCCCTGGTGAAGCCCCTTGGCTTAGCATGGCTCGATGATAGCCTCTCATCTCCTTCCAGCAAGGCAATCCCACCTGTGGCTCCCATCCTCCTCTCTTGCGCCCCATATCTCAGTAGATTGAAACAACTCCCCCCTTCTCTCCCACGCCCCCATAGCTCAGTAGATTGGAACGGCTCCTCCCTCTTCATAATAGTCAGTGCTGCAACGACAATGGTACGTCAGATAAAATGTCCTAGCTGGTATGGACCTGTGACGTACCACGTAACAAGTTTAGGGTGCGATTGGTAGGTTGGATCTTTGCTGGCTAGGCTGATTCCATGCAACTTCCGTTCGTTTAGTTGCTTGAACTCGCGCTCGGGCCAGGCTCCGATGATGCAATCGTGCACCTCGAACCAGGCTCGTTGGAAAAGCAGGAGCTTTTCATTTCTCCCAAGCCAGTTCCAACATGTGCAATCATAATGAGCGTACCAGTCATCACGCATGCAAGAAATGTACTGCATACACGCTACCAAACAATTTCTCTACCATGCGGATACAAACAACTGAAAGCTAGGGCCTGCAGGATAAAGGCCAGACTAAGGATTCGAGTAACCAATCAGACCCTCAGTGGCCAGAAATATACAAAGTTTACAGGTGCAAGTGATACCCCTGACAAATTCAGGAGCTTCTCATGTATTTAATAACTCATCTAATTCTATAGATCTAATCGTAAGAAAAAATAGTAGTACAAACAAAATGGAAAATGAACTGCGTACGAGAAAATTATTTGTAAACAAAAAAGAAGTCACGTGGGCCTACGGCAGTCCAACAACCCTCGCGATGCGTTTTCTGTTAACTTTGGCTCAAAAGGCCACTACCACGTGTGGGGATCAGCCTATTGCAGCAGGCCTTTGCCACGCTCGCATAAGAGTAAGTATAATAAATAGCAAGCTGACTAAATAACAAGGTGGAGGAGAGAGAAAAATGATAGAGAAGAGAAGCGGGTTGTAAGTTTATAGCTGATTTAGACACAAGAAACAAGAAAATTTTTTAGAGAGACAAATGTGTCATGTATTAATAATGAAAAGCTAACTATTATATAGACGGGCTGAGAGAAGGCTATAAAAAATCTTATATCTAGCAAGCTGCCTATATTATTAGCTTTGCTCTAGGGCAGCGGGCTGGCCGCTGGGTAAAGTAATAATCAAGAAGGCTGTTCTAGAATTTGCGAACTCATGAGTATTTTGCACAGCCAGCACAAAAGGACAGGAGCAAAAATGTGCACGGCCCTAGGGAAGTCCTCGACGCGAGACCACGACAAATACTACAGGCTGCCTTATCAGCAAGCCCTTGCGACAGCCCAGGGGCGTGGCGGTAGTTGTGATATTTCTGCTTGGGATGCGTTTTATTTGCCTTGTTGGGCTTCATATTTTATTTTATACGGAGTAGATATAAAGCTAAGGGCGCCTCCACAGATGAGAGCCTTCTAGATTATTTTACCCGGGCCGTGTGTGTGTGTGCATATAAAATTTGACCGCCCGGTCTGGCCACTTAGCTTTCTATTCAAGCCATCTACAAAGGGATGATGCACGCATAATGTTGCCCTAATCTTTGACAAACACTTTATAAACTATTAAACACTAACATAAAGCGTGCTGAACATAGTAAGGTATATACAAGCTAAACTAACCTACGTGAATTTTTCAACACTAACACAAAGCGTGCCCAACACGGTAAGATACAAGCTAACCTAACCTATGTGGAAACAAATTACTCGATATTCGCATCTCACAAGACCATCTTGTATCGGTATAGGTTCGAGTAGACTATGGCTTCCTCAAGGATTTGATTCTATGACGGCATAGACAAGGTCGTGGGTAGCAATAGTGCATTGGACTAAGGTCTCTTGTAGCCTCTTTTATCTCGACGATTTTTTTTTTTTTTTTTGCGAGACTATCTGACGATGTTCAATCCATTACCTACAAATTCAAGAGCTAACGAGGGAACGTTCCGAGATCTATTGGTTCGCTCTAGATCCTGGAGTTGGTGCATTAATTAGGAAAAGTACTTGGTTGGCTTTTGATGCGGCGACTTTGACCTTTTTTTTTTGGTGTTGTGAGATCTGTTGGTTCACTCTGGATCATGGAGTTGGTGCCTTAATTAGTGAAAGTTGGCTAGCTTTTGATGCAGTGACTTTGACCCTTTTTTTTTGTTGGTGTTGTGAAATCTGTTGGTTCACTCGATCCTGGAGTTAGTGCATTAAATAAAGGAAGTAGCTGGCCGGCTTTTGATGCGGTGACTGACTTTTTTATTGGTTGTACAGCAAGGTGTATAGTTTCTCTAACCATTATTTTGGCTGTGAAGATTTGCAAGCCTGCTTACGGTGATCCTCTAGCTGATGTTAGCTCATTACTAACAACGAGTGGTTAATACGAAATTTAAAGCCTCGTGTGGCGAGGACGTTTGCAGACTTCCTTTGTTTTCATTTTTTTAGATTACGATCCTTCCTTAGTTTTCATGCCTTTTCAATGCAATCTTCAAACTCCGACAGGTGGCACAAACAACGGTTTGAAAGGCCTTTAGTGTACTTTTTTCTCTAGATGTCGTCTTGTACATAGTATTGTGTTGTACTCCATCTATTTTAAATTATAAGATATTGGTTTTTCTAGGTGTGTATGTTTTACTATATATCTAGACATAATGTTTATCTAAGTACATATCAAAATCTATGTACGTAGAAAAGTCAAAATGGTCTTATAGTTTAGAATGCCAGGAGTATTAGCTACTATTTTTCTTGATAATAAATATCAAATAGTACACTTGTGCTGTTCTTTAAAAACAAGGAAACATGCGCCGTTAAAATGACAACAAGGCCCAAAAATAAGATTGAGCTTATCAATAAAGAGTATTGAGCTCTTTTCCATGTATTGAGTTCTTTCACCTCGAAATGTGCCGATAAATAACGAACTGGGGAATGGGAATTAATAATAGAAACAATCAAACTGGTTACAAATAAGAATGGTTTCCAACCACGCCTTAGCTAGGGATTCCTAAACGCTCTCTGTAACCAATCCATCCTAGCAAAATCACATAACAAAGGCACACAAGAATATCAAACACAACAGGTTTTTCTTCTGCAATCGACTAAAGCCTCAGCTCAGCTGCATTGCGGGCTGTTGGCAAATGTGTCGATGGAGAAGGACTTGGACAAGGGGCCGGCGGAGAAGCGGAGCTGGTCGCCGTCGCGGTCGACCTGGTCGACGCCGATCCACGAGAACAGCACCTTCACCTTCACTCCCTCCAGGCCGGTGATGGACAGCGGCTGGATGTGGCCAGCGACGCGGCTGCTGTACTGGACCTGCATGCTGCCAGCGCGGAAGCCGCAGTCCGCCGGGAGGTACACCTCGAAGGAACCGTCGGCGTTGAGGACATACCCCGTCACGCCCTGCGGCAGGATGCCCTGCGTGAAGTTGTACCGCTCCAGCATCTGGTACGCCGTCGGCTGCGGCTGCGGCGTGGGAGCCGGCGGCGAGTCGTCGGCCCCGATGAGAGTGGCGACGAGAAGAAGTGTCACGAGGAGGCGGAGAAGCTGATGAGTGACGGCCATGGTTGGTGGCTTTGGTGCTGCTGCTTGATTGTGATGTCTTGTGGCGCTGTAAGCCGTCGTATATAAAGATGCCTTGTAGCCTTCTGGTTAGGTGAACATTCAGTCATCTATTAGCTGGCTATACGCTAATTTATATGTAGAATCATGCAATTTATAAGTTAACTAAATAAGCCAAAGTCCAGATCCACCTAACTTTTGCAATTTAATTTACCTATAGTAAATTTAGCATTGAAAGAATATGACCAAGAGTGGGCTGGATTGAAACCACGTATATGGTAGATGATTTGTTTACCATCGTCCTAAAACACGAGTATTTTTTTTTTCACCCAGATTTTTAGCTTTGCCGAAAAGACAGTAGGTGTATGATGTTACCACGCAAATTTAACAAACTTATTACTCTATCCATTTCAAATTGTAAGTCATTTTAACTTCTCTAGATACGTAACATTTGCTATGTACTTAGGTATATGTTATGTCTAGACACGTAATAAAATCTATGTATATAGAAAAGATTGAAAGACTTAATTTCAATTTAGAATTGATGGAGTAGTATTTAATTTAATATATATATATATAAAAGGATGCCACGTCAAAGTAGATCCGCGTAGGTAGGGTCAAATATACTTTATCAAAAAAAAGTTATAGGCATAGTTTTCTTTAAAAAATCATTTCGAAGAAAAAACTGCAATTAAAATCTCAAAATCGCTTTATTCATAGAAGTTTTATAAAAAAATTTGTTTTCTCTTGAAAAAAATATGAAACCAATTTTAGAATTTTCCTTAAATTATTCTTTATGTTTGGTGTCTAGTTTGGAACTATTTGAACCATATATAATCTTCTTTTAGTGTTTATTTGCTAGTGCATGCTCCCATCTTATTTATGCAATGGTGTTAACGGTTGTGTCATATATCTATACAATAAATCCGAAAAAATACAATCACCCATCCTGAGTCTAGATTCGAACCCTAGATGAGCAGGTTCAACCATAAGGAAAAGAACAATTTATATTTTTTGTTAATTTAGTTCCATATCATTCTCATGTGTCCACTTTTTGCTAATAGATCAAACCTCACCAAACAAAATTCATTTGCATGTTTGTAAATAAGAAAATGAAAACATTATGTGTGATAAACGGTGTTTCTTTGTAACATGAGGGTATCTAGTTGGTGGGGCCTGTCTAAGTCAGCACCAATCAAGTAGCTAGATTCACTATACCACAGCCAATCTATAGCGACTCTAAATCGGTCGCTATAAACCTATAGTGACCGATGTAACGGTCGCGGTAAGTGGTGTCACTTTAAACCTATAGCGACCTACAGGATTTATACCAACCGATGATTGGACGCTAATATTTATACCGACCAATGATCTGTTACAAGTTTTAGCGACCAATGGTTTGAGGATATGAAACTTTTTAGCGACCAACAATCCATCGCTCTAAACTAACACAATTATATATAATAAATTCTGAATTAACCAGATTTTTCAAACCTAATGTGGAACCAAACAGTTGTGATACCCATAATCTAACTGAGACTAGAAAATAGTCAATAGGAAACCTCAAATGGAAATTAGAAAATATCATCTCCAAGGTTCAAAAATATATTTCTGGAAACTAGTTGGGTACGTTCAATTTCAGAATTCCTATGATGAAGTCCAAGTCTTGCCTAACAGTCCTGTAGTAAGTTGCACTCTAAAGACTAACATGAAAATTTTCACTAAATGGTTCATTCTCAATATTATAGGCAACAGAAGTTTTTAGTTTCATTCCAAGAAGTCATCAACAGTTTGCATGCAAGCTTGAAAATGATAAAAATAGAACACTAACCAACTAAGCTTTACCCGTGATTCGCAATGTCTGATACTTTGATCTGAAGCAAAAATGACTCAAAAATAACTTACTTTTTATCTATCAGTTTGGAACTTTGGTTCAAATGTGGAAACTGGGAAGGGCAACTTTCTATGCGCCCGATCTGTTGGAAACAACTAAATATATATAGCGACCGATCTACAGTTGCTACAAGTAAAAATAGCAACAGATGATCTGTTGAAAATTTATACCGACCGATTGTTGGTCGTTAGTATTATATTTTAGCGACCGTTGACCAATGCAGAAGATTGGTTGTGGTATAGTGATTGTTCATTACCATCACAAATAAACCATAAAATGCAATAGTCATATGCATCTTCTAGTATCAGTTGTCACATGTATCCATTCTAAATAGGGTCATGCATGAGGTGATTATAAGGCACTTGTATTTTCGTCGAAGTCACTTGAACTCTCATGTACTTTGGATCGTCGCCGTAGACTTATTATAGCAGAAAATGAGGACATCTACTTGCAAATAAACAGCAAGGGAGACCATATAAGATTCAAATAATTCTAATCATGGTAGCACTAGATAGAGCATGATTTTTATGAAAAATGAAACTAGTTTCATATTCCGAGCAATACCTAATTTTTCCCTAAAAATAATTTTCTATGAATTTTCTAATTGTAAACCAGATTTAAGATTTTAATTGCATACATTTTTCTAAAAAATGGATATTTTTTTTAAAAAAAAATTGTATAATTTTTTTTATAAAAAATATAGTGCAATTTAACTCCATCATGCCTTATGTGCCATAGTGTCAGCGCATCTGCCACTAGTGTTAGCTTGTGTTTGGTTTCGTGATAGACTAGAATAGGATGGTTTTGTCCTTTTTCTTTTGAGATGAGATGTTCTTTGTGTTTTGTTTAAGGATGGGATTATGGATTATGATATACGTGTATGCTTTGAGATTACCTCCTCTCTTTTTTCACATTTTTCCATTACCTTTTTCTATATATATATATATATATATCCTTTCATTCAGGCAAAATTAGCCACGTTCTTCGGCCACGGCCCAGTTCAGCCTTCACGTTTTTCTCTCTCTGGTGATGCCGGTGCCGTGTGGGCCCTACGTCATGTTCTTCAGCCGCAGTTGGTCTGCGCGACTGCGCCTCCTCTTGCCGCGCAGGTCAATCGCAGTCGATCCCCAACGGTCGGCCTGCTCGTTGACGATAGCCATTTGTTGTCTGGACTCTGGGCTGTGGCGGTCTGGCTGATGAGTCCGACCGCCCCACTTTGTGCTTTTTGATCGCCTGTTTTCTTTTCCGATTTCATTGGCCCATGACACAGTCCAGCTGCCAATCCTTTAACAACTGGCCCATCAACGAGTTGTTTCGGCCCAATTAAAGGGAGGGAATTAGGGTACATTGGGTGTACACACGCAGTTACACTTACCTTACTAGTATAGTGCCCGTGCTAACGCTACGGCTTTATTTTGGGAATCACATGAAAATAACCAAACAATGAAATTTTTTGATAGTTTAAGTCACACGCAATGGTACATAACGATGTATTTAATCTAGAAAACACGCATGCATAACAAGGCATAATAAAGTCATGTCTGACATATCTATCCTACTAATTTATGAGTTTAAGTAGATCTTGCAGTTCCCCAAGGATGTCATATGTACATTCATTTGCGCTGCTCTTCAAAATGTCAACTAAAAATTCCGTCCTCAGTGAATCTGACCTCTGCGAATGATATAGATAATATATAATAAGTTAACTTACTGATTTGGTAGATAACATATAAAATATACATAGAAATATTTTACGCTTACTATGTTGACAAACGACGATAATCTTTCGCCATTCCACAACTTTAGGTAGTTGTAGACAAGGAAGCCTGCCAATTTCCTGGAGAAGAAAAGCCCAAGTGTTTATTTGTTGTAGTTAAATCAAATCACTATTTATTTGATGGTAAGATAAGATAAACACAATATAAGTTGTTACCGGTCCATAGCTTTTGGAAGATATAGTTTTAATTGACGACGCCAGAGGTAAACATTCTCTTTCCATGCAGGATTGACCAATGTCATGGAGAAACTGAAATAATTCAAAACTATCTCTAATATACCATTATATGGCATGATTGGATCTAGACCCGAGTACCATAGTTTTGGAGAATGCGGATCTAGAATGTGCACAATTTTGTTACCCATGTCAAATATGAATAAAATATAGTTCCTATCTCGAAAATATGGCAATAGAATCTCTAAACAAACAAAAAAAAACCATAAGTGCAATACAAAATATAAGTTTTCAAAGGAGTTTAATGAACATATATCTTACAGTGCTGCAATTTTGTATTTTGTAGTCCCTATCAGGCCCGCATTGAAGCAATTTTGCTAGTTTTTCATAGACTATCCAGACGCAACACCTTGGATATCGTCCAAACTGAGTTCTCGACTGTTATTTTTTTTGCAACAATTATCACTATTTAATTAATGATACAACTAAGAAATGATTTATATACATTAGTGAAAAATCATATCAACTTACAGCAAACTGGAGGTCCATATAGTGGTATTTGTCTTTCTCCAACATAGAGGCGTTATTGGATGCAGCCATCCAAACAGCAAGGTTGAAGCAATTACGATCCATCTCCATATTCTCGTTTAAAATATCGCCAATTTTTCTATGAGTTAAAGAAATCGGATACGGTCGTGTGCTTCGGACCCATTCTTTGCTAAAAAACCAGGACAACAAACAAATGAATTATCGTAGCAGTTGTAGCAGGGGTGATGAAAAATCTTTAAATTAGAAAATAATTTACTTTAGAATGACTTACTCTAAAGATTCAGGGTCATCATTCAACAGGATGCATGCACGAAATGCAGACAATAGGTCTTGTTTGTTTGTCCATGTTGTTGTACCCGACAGTATCATATCTATTTCATCTGGATTATCGAGCATTACAACATCATCATCAAGATTATTGTTGTCATCCATATCTTACTCATCATCCTGTAACCCTCTCGCTGTGTTTATCGTGGAGTTATACAAGATCGCAGGTAGCTTAAACCTAAAGTTACTTATATCGTCCTAAAAATATGAGCAAGTCGTGATTATTAACCAAACCAAAATAAAAAATATTAAGAAATATTCTTATGAAATTACCTGGGTCACAACGTCAGATACAGTTGTTCCAGTCCAGTACTCCATATAATTAAGCATCCATAAACCGCAACTTACACTGTGCAAATATTACAAGTAAAATATGAGTGATACAGGTACTGTTGCTGGTGTGACAATGCCATGTACACAAAAGGTATAGTTGATCTTTTACCCATCTGTTTGCGCTCTTTTAGTGATCATATATTTAGTTGGCCAAGATGACACTTCGATACCGTGTTTCTATTTTTGTCGGTCCAGTTGGATATGCTCTGCTACTTGCTTTATCATTCTTTCCATTCCTATTAACTTTATGACCGAAACACCAAGTTTTAGAAAGGGAATATTAAAAAATTTAAAAACAATATGTATGTATGTATATCAATCATAAGCCACAGTACACCATATATTCGAGATCTTGAAAGTTTGACATTTGGTCTCCGAAAGAGTCCAAAACATGTATCTCGCCTATTGAAGCATTAACAATCGCTACGTACCAGTGAAATTTCACAATGTTTATAGGAAGGAACACCTGCAATAATGGAGTTTTATCCAATTTATTTATATTTCTTTTAATCAACAAAAAGTAGCATCTATTAGAGTTTGTGGTCAAGCGTACCATATCAGCCTTCAAATAATTTTGGACCCATGTTTCAACCACGTCATTTCTGCTATAGTTCCATGTCGTTGCAAGGGCCTCTCCATCACGATGTAGCAATTGAGTAATAAAGGTATTTTCTAAGTAAACATCTCCACCTTCTCTATGGAGCAGGTGTTCTTCATGCCGCATCAATTGGATGTACGCACTTATGACCTGCAGGTTTGTAATTTGTCAATTAAAAATTGGCATATATTTTGCATGAACATCAGCTAATGTAAAAGCAGTGTTAAAATGCTTACAGCGCCATTCACTTGCACATCACCATTTAATAGGCAATCCATGTCATCTCTAATTACCCAAGCATCGTCAATTCGGACAAACTTTTTTCCTTTTTTCCTTTCATGTAGTGAATTACCTTGACATCTTCTTCTGTACACTCATAGTCTGCGTTGAAAATAATTTTATTAATTAATTAATTTCAAAAAATATAAAAAAAATAAGATACTATTGAAGAAAATGACTCACCTTGAGGCAGGACCTTTGCATTATTCGCCTTCTTAGGTTTATTATATTGAGGAATCACAATCACATCCTCGTCAGCATGCTTTCTGGCTTCGTCTTTTTTTATATTAACTATTTCTAGGACATCGTCTTTGATTTGCTCTTCTTCTTTGATCCGCACTTCTTCTACATCCCTATTACTTATCTGGTATTTGTCCTTGTCTGGTATCTCTGCCGAAATAACTCGATCATATGCATCTGGGGTTGTCAACTTACTCCCTGATTTCATGATCAGCAATAAATGCTCATGTGGCAGACCCCTTTTCTGGAACTCGGTAACATGAGCGTATGCTGCAACTTCACCAAAATACTTCCTCTTGATTAGAAGATCCTTCAGATCACGCAACTTTGCCCTGTACACTCTTGCAACCAGTTCTGGCCTATCTTGTGGGTCCTGCCCCGGTTTGAGATTGCTTGTTATCTCTTCCCAGTAGGGATTGCATGTCATGGTGACGAAGTAATCAGGCTTTCCAAAACGCTGCACAATAGCCATAGCATTAAGGAATCTTTCTTTGCATGTCTCGATCGCATCCTGGGAATGATCTTACAAAGCACAATTCTCTTGCCAACCTTAGAAGCTTGTGTCTCTCCAAAGAGAGGTAACATCAACAAGTCCCTAAAATACATTTAAGCACTTACTTTTAGCGAAAGGCAGTAACAAGGTTGCAAAGTTCATGAAAAACAATTATATAAATAAGCAATATAATATGAGTGGTTACCTGGTATAGCTCCGCCCGTTTTAGTTTTTGGTGCTCAGGATTAGAGTACCAATCTAGCCTCATAGACTCAATCTTTATATACATATCCACATCCCACTGCTGGAAAAGACGTCCTCCGAATAATAAAATGTTAAAAAGTCCCGTCTAACTTGCAACTTGAAGCAGTAGTATTCTCAAATGCGAGTTACATATTTTGCGGATTGTGCTGCATCTGCAACTCCAGCTAGCACGTCACCTTCTTGCACATCATTGTCGCCTTCTTCCACATGATTTTTTCGTTGTTATTATCAGCTGCAAGATACACAAAACATTAGATAATGTTATAATTAGTATTATAGTATCGAATCAGTAGTACCAGTATAATAGCAAAAAAAATATTATAGCAAATAATACCATGATTACCACCAGTAGTCCTTCAGCTCTACCATTAGCACTATTAGTAGAAGCGCGGTTGCGAGATGGTGGAGTGAATGGATCCTCACCATGACGGCATAAATTTGTTCCATCTTGTTTCCCTTGTGGGTTATATATGGATAAGCTAAAGCGTCATAACAACCATGCCATGCTCGGATATATATCATGGACGATGATCGGTCTTTCCATATACAACCACACTTCTATCAAAACATCTCGTGGATCGTTCCCATCCATCCAAATAGCAACAACTTGGGATGCCGTTGGGGCATTGTACCTTCTTTGGTCAGGCGTGACATTTGTATTGAGTTCAATCTTGTACTCATCCAAGTTTGGAAAATCCCCATTTCTCCTAAAAGTATGAACATATGGGTTATCTTGCAAGATTGCTAGGATAGTCCGAATGATGTTGATATCAAGATCGAGGGGACCTTTTGACTCTATGTGATAAGGCCTCATCTTCGTATCATAAAAGTAGAGTGCAAATGCGAAGCACCATGGCCACCGGCACCGTGTGGTCAAGACGGTGGTACAACATACCATGCACTCGAAATGTATAAACACCGGTCCGTCTTTGGACTTTTTTATATCTGTCGTCCGTGGTAACCCCTAGACTTGCAAAGGCGAAATGTGAGTTGATATAACGTATATGTTTCTGAAATATTTTGCATCATCGTGCACTTGACTTGTGAACAACCTTTTGAGCTCTGCAGAACATCGGTATATGCATCTCATACTTTTCCTTTTCTACAACAAAACCCGGGTGTCTCACCACCGAAACCTCATCGCACCACGAAGAATCGCGATCGGGGACCTTTCTCAATTTATGTATTCGCTCGTAGGTTCTCGTAGATGTAGTCATATGGATCGTCATGTGTCACACAATTGTTTGTAGCTGGACCCCTCTGGAGGCACGCGATATGACTCATAATCATGACCTGTGTGGACATTGTAGTAATTACTTTCACTTAATATATAAATATTTGGTAAAATGAAGTCTGCATTTATAACCGGTGAGGGATAGATGTTGTCGTAGTACCTTGCGCATGTCGGTGAATGACCCCATCATCATCATCGTATAAGTTTTCATTGTGCAATCCATGGCCACCGTCCATGGCATCTTCATCATCGTCCCAACCATCATCATATTTGGTTCAAATAGTTCATGGTCGAATTCTTCTTCATTGGATTGGACATGTACATGGTTGTTGCGTAGCTTTCGGTATTTGTCTTCTCGCATAGTAGATATTTAATATTTTTATTTTAATATTAAGTAATATAAGCAAAGTAGGAAATAAAATATATAATAGCAAAAAATGTTGTGGTGATGACCGACACACCGCCTCACGGAAGTAGGTGGGGCTCTCTACGCTACTGGAACATAATTATCATTTATGTGTAACCAATCCATAGGCTCGCTAACTCTTTGGTTTCCATTATTGTCGCTAATCCAATAGCTCAAATTCGCACCTTGAGATATGAATATAAACAAAGGTTCATGATATATCAAGTGGTGGATGAAATCCTTATGGTCTCGGATATTACTAACCCGCCGGCGAGGACGATGGCACTATTTGGTTGATAGCAATTTGGTGTCTTTGTTATTTTGCAATTGAGCCTTCCGTCGTGCTCGATATTGACGTTGGTACTCACGTTGTCTCCTTTTATTCTCTTCTCTCGCTCTCATCGGTCATTTCTGCTCTTCTCTTTCGTTGTTGCGCGTTCCTTTCGCCCATCGTATGGTTACTAATATCTGCAGGGTCACGTTTGTGAGATTACAAAAATTAAATAATGAGACTCTTTCACATAATAAACACGTGTCCAATCTTTACCGCTAGCCACTGATAGAGCAGTGCCTATTGTCGTTGAGGTGCCAATGCCACCATGGCTATGATTCCCATGTGCGGTTGGTTGGATATTTTCCTTGTCCAGTATAATTGGCGAGTTTTGGTCTATCTGAGAACGATTAGTACCTGCATTTTTTTGGTCCATCTCATAACGTTGGTTTGAGTATATTAAGAGCCTGAGTAATAATAAACTAAGCAAAGAAAAATTATACCGGGTGCAGTCAAAACACAAGAAGCGCTATTGTTTTGGGACTCGGCCTTCTTCCGTTCTCGGTAGTGACGTTGGTACTCACGTTGTTTCCTCCTCATCTCCTCCCTTTGTTCGTCGGTCATTTCAGCTCGCCGAATTCGTTGCTGCAAGTTCCTTTGTTCCCTAGTCCTCCGGGCCTCATCTATATGGTCACAGCACAGGAAATCAATTAACCAACCCAAAGTTATATATTACTGCATCGGTCTCTGTAAAAATCAATTTGTAGAGTTATTGTAAGTCAAACTTTTTAAACTCTGATCGAATGTCTAGAAAAGAGCATTAAGATTTATGGTACCAAATTAATACCAAATTAATACAATGTAAAATCATACCTGTGATGTTGGTGATGTCGCTTAGTGGATCGTGTGTATCTCTCGACGTAGACATTTAGTTAATGTATCACAAGCAGTCTGTGATCACGCAGGACCTTTGATTTTTATTTATAGTACCTATTACAAATGGATAGTCAATGTCAGCACAAAATCTCAGAAAACCAGAAATCAATTGTTCTCAAATTATTTGTGACCAATCCATCAACAAATGTGATAGGCGGCAAGCAAGATTTACGATAGTATCGCAAGGAAGCGATAAACTTTAGCAAGACGATTGCCATGCACCGATCCACGCACGCACACACGCATGTTCACGGGCGGCATCGCAGACGCGCACACGCACGCTCACACGGCGGCGGAGACGGTCCACGGCATGACGAGCCGCTCCTCGGTGCTCTTGTCCTCGTCGTATATAGGTGTCTTCGACGGTCGCCGGGCTGTGAGCGGCGCGTTCGTCGTGGGCACCGTGACCTTGTCGACCGGAGAAGTGCCCTCGCGAACGGATCGCAACCTCTTGCCGACGCCTGATCTGAATGCGAGGCTCGGCGGAGTCTCGCCAGCGGCGTTCAGCGGCTTTGGTTACGCGGTCTGGTCGCCGCGACGCCGTCGCCGCCCACCGTCGTTTTATGGTCTCGACGGAGTTGTGCCGTCCGGTCGCCGCCGTTTGCAGGATGCGGTGCCGCGTCTGCAGCAGACGCTGCCCTAGTACACGGCGCCCGTGGCTCAAGCGATAGTCGCAGCAGTGCGATCCGTCGGTGGCGTAGTGGGCAAGTGAGTCAGTCGAGAGGCGGCGACCATCAACAGGTCGGCGATGGTGGCGAGAGTCGTCCGGAGTCTAGCGTCAACAGGAGGATGCTGCGGTGCGGAGGTTGTCATGCCTTTTTTCCCATACTTTATTTTTTGATGGTTGAATGATCGGTGATTGGATCCTAATTGCCGAGAGCAACGAGGATGCGGGCGGGGAGAGTGCGGAGATGAGGGGGTGTGAGAAGCCTCCATCGATGTTTCTGGGCCTTTGGATTTGACGTAGATCTATTATGAACCCTTGATTTTGATAGAGACAAGTTTCTGGGAATTCCACCAATTTAGCATGTCCCACGGAGACAATAACGAACAAGTTGACTATTGGTCATTTGTAGAATTTCAAAACATCCTGAATAAAAAGGGAGTGAGGGCAAACCTGGATATTTTTGCTGCTTCCTCTACAATGTCGCAGCGAGGAGAGAAGCACAGCGTCTGTCACGTCGGGGACACGAAGATGAGGACAGGGCCACGTCCTTTCGTCGAGGACTCTGTCAGTGGACCTTCTCCTTCAAGACTGGGTGGTGGCGGCGTGGCTTTTCATGCACGGACGGAGGAGAGGATGCGGCGGTGTGGGAGAACGCATGGCGAGGATGATGGCGGGGCGGCGAGGGGGCGGGGCGATGGCGTGTGGCACAAACCTCGACGGTCCTTTCCCCTTCGGTGATCTCGTCCCACGGATCGGGGCGGATCGCAGGCATAATACATGTACACACATCTAATTAGATCAGACTGGAATACAAATAGCCAATTATCTTAAGGATTCGGTGCTTGGTTTCGCACATCAGGAAGCGATTAGCACACCTGGTGATTAGTTTGGGTATGGTGTTTGGTTTTGCATGCAGCAGGAAGGCATTGGCACACCTGCATCGGGCGCGGCCGGGTCGGCAGTGTGGCGTTCATGGAGGCGGCGGCGTCCCGCGTGTGTTGCTCGTGGACGGTGGGCGAGAGAGAGGGCAAGGTCTGCGGTATCGCAGGCTACGGGGCGCGGACGTGCGATGGAGGCGAGCCGCGGTAAAGGGGGAAGGGAGCTGGGGGTGCGGTGAGGGGGTGTGAGAAGCCTCCATCAAACATCATTTCTGGATTTTTAGATTTGACGTAGATCTATTATGAACCCTTTGATTTTGATAGAGACAAGTTTTCAATTATAGTGGAGATGAAAAAGCAGACCCTACGAGTGTCTTTGATAAGCGTCCGGACGCTTCCATTGTCGTGGTCGCGATAGCTCGAACGGCCCACTACGTCTTGCCCTCAACGTTCCACTTCATAATTTTGTAAAAAAATCCACTCCAAAACGTTCGGACCCTGGCTTCACTCGACTCATGCGACCACCACTCGCCGCTGAGCCCGTGCCACCGTGGATTCCGGTGTGGTCCACTCTGAACTCTCCCCCGCAAGTCGCAGCCATGGCGGAGGACACCCCCAATGCCATCGTCGAGGGCAGCACGCCCACGACCCCCGAGGGATCCGTCGACACCACCTCGGCGGGTGCCGTGAGCGTTACGGCCGCGAACGTGCTGCTCCCGTCGCTCAACATCTGGCCGTCGTCGCAGCACATGCACGACACCGTGGTGCGCCGCCTTATGCAAACGCTCGTGGCGCCCAGCGTCCTCTCCCAGCGCTACGGCGTCGTCCCGAAGCCCGATGCCGAGCGCGCCGCCGTGGTCGTCGACGCCGAGGCCTTCGCTGCCGCCTCCAAGTCTGTCGTCACCGAGTCCTCGACCTGCATTGAGGAGGGGGCTACCGTAGTTCCCCACCAGTTGTGTCGTGGTCGCCGGTGATGTCGTGTTTGAGGTGTTTTAGACGTACATTTTTCAAGTGTTTCATCTGGATGTTGCAATTGCTATATACGCATGTTGCAAGCGTTTGTTTCAGGTGTTTTAGACGTACGTTTTCAAGTGTTTCATCTGGATGTTGCCTATGTTACAATAGCTATATAGCATGTTGCAAGCGTATGTTTCAGGTGTTTCAGACGTATGTTGCAAATGTTTCATATGGATGTTTCAAATGTAGATCTTGGTGTTGCACATGTTGCAATGTCTATACACGCATGTTTCAAGTATTTCATCTATTTCATACGTATGTTGCGATTCATTTGGATGTTTCAATTCAAAAGTAGATCTAGTGTTGCATATGTTGCTATGGCTATACACGCATGTTTCAAGTGTTTCATATGTTTCAGACGTATGTTGCAAGTGTTTCATTTAGATGTTTCAAAAGTAGATCTCGAGGGAAGCACATGCTGCTACTAGTGCACTGCCGTGGGTCACCACGCGTGCCTGCTGGTGCTACTGCTGCCTACATGCGGGCATGTGAAACGGTGTAGGCTCGGGGTGGTCCCCATGCATGTGTGGGCCCATGCGGCCTCCGGAGCAGGATGGCTGCGGGCGCGAGGGAGCTGGGTGTGTCAGGCGTGAGTGCGGGAGCACCCTTGGACACGAGCGCCTCTGATCGGACGTTCGGGTGCTAGTAAGTCCGCTTTGATAAATTGGAGCAGTAGATTTTTTTTAGATTGATATAAATCACAATAAACATCTTAGATAGGTATATATAATCGTCTATGTAAATTAATCAAGATTAACGTAGACGTTGAAGAGAGGTGAGCGTGATGCCCACCTGTGTTAACCTATTTTGCCCGCTACTAAGAGCAAGACTTTTGTGGCACCTACTAGTGAGCGTGATGCCCACCTGTGTTAACCTATTTTGCCTGCTACTAAGAGCAAGACTTTTGTGGCAAATACTACTTGAAGCTGTCGTTTGTCGTCCTCCTATAGGCTGGTGGTCAGTGCCAAAGGCGAAGAATGGGGCCTTTTGTCAAAACAAGTACATCGCATATACGTAGTATTATCTTACATCTACTGCTCCGTTCAAGAAAGAATAACCTTACATGTCTTTATATCAAATGTATAAAAAAAGATGTCATATTTAGCTACCAAATTATAGGATTTAATTTCTCATCTAATATATTTTCACAGTAGTATATCATTTGGTGTTATAAATGTTAATATTTTTCTCTATAAATTTAATTAAATTATAACAGTTTTATTTCGAGTAGGACAGAGATAGTAAATATTACAGGTGCAATAATTGATATGTAGGCCTGGATTTAGATTGTAAATTTTTGCAATCCGAGACACTGTAGCACGTTTTGTTTGTATTTGACAAACTTTGTCCGATCATGGACTAACTAGGTTTAAAAGATTCGTCTCGTGATTTACAACCAAACTGTACAATTAATTATTTTTTTACCTACATTTAATGCTCTATGCATGTGTTCAAAAATTGATGTGATGAAGAGAGAATGAAAAAACTTAGGAATTTTGATGGGATCTAAACAAGGCCGTAATCAAGATAACGACATGGTGTTGTGAAAAAAGTGACAGTGATGTGTCGTATCTTATCAGGAGTGGCGCAAGTTTCTCTATAAAAGTTAAAAATAATAGGGAATATATGCAAACATTGCAAATTCACAATAGCATGATGTGAAGATCGCACCTAACATGTCTCGTCTAGTAAACAGCACTAACATACGGTCTCCACAATCGCCGCCATCGATCCACCGGCGGCCGGCCGGACGAGTTGACAACGACGCAGCCAGCAGGGGCCACTAGACACGTGGAATTGGAAAGCCACAGTTCACCGTCAGATCAGACTAAAGTCTAGAAGATGTAAGGTAGGTGTGTCGAACGGGGTGTTCGAATACTAATAGAAAAACAAATCATAGAATTCGTTAGTAATCCGCGAGACGAATTTATTAAGCATAATTGATCCCTCATTAGCATATGTTTACTATAGCACCAAATTATCAAATCATGGACTAATTAGTCTTAAAATTTTGTCTCGCAAAATAGTCTCTATTTGGGCATTTAGTTTTATAAATAATGTATATTTAATACTCCATATATATATCAAAATATCCAATGAGATGAAACAAACAACCCCTGGGACTA